AATTCCCCAGCCAGCCATGGAATTCTGGGAGTTGAAGTCCACACATCTTAAAGTTGCCAAGGTTGAGAAACACTGCCCTATATTAATAAGGTAGAGTCCCAGTAGTCCTTGTGGTGTTTGTTTCCTAACCTGGCCTACCTCAAAGGACTGACACTAGATTTGCATAGCAGAATATGCCTCCCCAACTTAACCCAGATTAAAACTAACCATGCTTGTAAGATATTTTATGTAAACTAAGTTTCTAGATGTTGGTTAGGCATGGACTACAGGTTCGCCCTGTTATCTAATGAGTCTGCCCAGAGTATTGAAAAGGGTCCAAAAGAGAATCAGATTCAAATTCACTTGCTCAGTTGGAAAATTTGGAATAGCCACAGAATTTCAAGTGATCTGCTTTTCAGGTGTGAGAAACAATCCCACATATATGAGGTGGACATTTCAGCAGACATGGGCCATGTATCCCTTTAATGAGAAAACTAGTAAGAGAGTTAGTTATTTTTAAAAATGACTTCTACCTTAACCCTAACCCTACCTGTGCAAAGCATCAGATCATCAGAGCAAGAACATATCTTAATAATATAAAAGTAATATCCAAACCATTTGTTAAATACTAGGAACAACAAATAAATAAATGGCCTGGGCTTTTGTTGAGATAAAAATAATGCAGTAAAGATAATTTTGACCACATTTTTTTCAGAACAGGCTGATTTATCAGTTCATACAGTATATAAAGTTCACTTTCCTTTATCATACTACTAAGTCTTTGACAAGTTACAAATTAAACCTAAAATACTAGTGTGTAAGTAGAAAATAATTATTATTTAGGGGATAATAATTTCTGCAATTTCAGATTTGTTTTTAAAATATATGTATCCTACCTACCACGCTATACATCTCCAGAGAGTGTAGTACATTGAGATATATTTAACACAATTTACATAAAACTTTACAAAAAGTGCTGGATGATGTGAAAGATCTTGAAACAGTTATTTTTTTTTAAAATAGAGTCACTAAAGTTTTAAATATTTCAGCTCAGAGAAATAAACTGATTCAGCAACCTAATATTTATGCATTAAAACTTTCCCTTTAGGAAAGGAGGCCTGAGGAAAAAAATTGATGTGTGATTTTTTGACTAGCCAGCATGTACTGGGAATTCTGGTAGTTGAAGTCCATACATCTTAAAGTTGTCAAGTTTGAGATACACTGATCTAGAGAGTTTAGCAGCTGGAATCCACTAAATATGCTGGACTATAATATCAAAATTTCAAGCCTGCATGGTCTTAGGATCTGTAGGAGTTTGAGGGAGACCACTAAAACTTTTAAGAATTAAGCCTCCTATAAAACCATGCCTTGCATTAAAAATACCTCAGATCTCCTCCAGAATCTAAGCAAGGAGCAAGAAGGGAACATATGGAGAACAAACTAGTGTGTAAAAAGTAGATTGTTTAGTAAGACTGCTGTTACATCACCTCTAGGAAGAAATCAATCACACATCTGTAGGAATGGAGCCGCTCAACTTCCTTATAACAGCAGACCACAGGAACAGACTTACTGCACTCCCCGAAGGCCTGGACCAGGACCCCCGGCCACCACGCTTCCCAAGCAAAGTATGGCCCGGCGCCCAAAGGCAAGGGTACCACCTGATTACAACATGGAGTTCCTCAGTGTCCCAGACCAGGGCATGGCAGGGTATGTGCTACTTTGGAAATGTTACTTGAGGTTATTGTCTCTCCTGTGGAGGAAGAGCAGAGATACATTAAAGGCTTGGCTGAATTGTGTGTGTTGGGGTGGGGGGTGCCCAGCTAGGAAGCAATATGTAGATGACTTTGTTGTTGTTCAGTCGTTAAGTCGTGTCCGACTCTTCGTAACCCCATGAACCATATCACGCCAGGCCTTCCTGTCCTTCACCGCCTCCCTGATTTTGCTCAGTTTTACGCTCATTGCTTCATTTATGCTATC